AGAATGTAGCCTTTTGTGTTTTATGCTACAGTCTAAATTAGGAATGTTAACTTTGTGGATTGAAGGCAAAATGTCTTGTCCTCTTTGTAATGATTAGAAAGCAAGGCAATAAGTAGCACAGAATAACAAATGACCTAAGTTTGCTACAAGTAAATGCCCATTTTTTACAGTGGTTTTCAACATCTTTTTCATTTTTGGATTTAAAGTTTCCCTTATTTTCTAGCAGGGCCAAATGTACATTGGAAAAGATGGTTAAAATGTATTCACCATACTTACATTTTTATATGGGGAAGGTTTTTGATGTCTAATATGAATTAAGCTGAAAATGATAGTCTCCTTTCATTCTTAAACTCTTTACATTCTGAATTCCTGCTTTCACCTCCGTTCTTGCAAATTTTCTCAAAGATCTCATAAATACCAAATTTTATTTATGCCTCTCAGTGCTCATTTGCTCATCATTTCCCCTCATTTCTAATTTCTGTTTTCCATTGCCGTTATCTTTTTTTTTTTTTTTTGCTCTCTTTGTAACACTACCACCATTTCCTAAGGTTCAGACTTCAAAATTACATAATAAATTTTCCTCTCTGTACCCTATATTCCATTAATCAGGAAATTCTATAGATTCTTACTACTTATTATGCTTTTGTCTATTTTTTTTTCTATCATTCTCAGACCAGCAAAAAGTGAGACCCTGCAATGTTTCTTGTTGGTCTTTCTCATCTTTGTATATGCCCCACCTCCATGTCTGATCATGGCTTTCCTCGCTTTAAAAATCTAGAGACTAATGTATTATATATTATATAACTTTCTTAGGTTAATATTCAAATTCTTCCTTTATTTGGCCCTAGACTATTTTCAACCATATCTTTCACAAAACACTTTTGAAGACAAAAATCATGCCATATGAAATGATTTATTGTTCAGTAAACATAAAATCACTCCTTTCAATTTCTTGGGCTTGTGATGTCTTCCAAATGAAATACATTTTACAATGCGTTTGCATCCCCACAAATTGAAAGTAACTTTTGTCAAGATAGAGACTAAATGCTTGGTACAGACATCTTGCATGGATGCTACCAAGGATTCCAAAGTTGGAAATTATCTCCCTTTTCTTTTCTTCTGCAGAATCTTTTATCTATTTTATTGTGTTTCTCAGATGCTGCCTGGTTAGATGGACATTTACATATATCTTCCTGTTAAACTGCAAGGTCCATGATAACTGGGTCTTTTCAACCTCTTTATATAGTTTTTGGTACTAATCACAGTGAATAAATCATAGAAGATTTTCAACAAATGCTTATTGAGTCTGGAGGTAAATATTGTGAATGCAAACTAATCTTTCTTTTTAAGAATGTACAAAATGCTATTATTCTTTATGATGAGGAACCAAATAGAAATCAGTAAAGACAAAAGAAGGCTTCTTTTGTCCTCTATAGATGATATGTCATTCCGGAAAAACACATGCTCTAGTTTCCTAAATTGAAAACTTATAAATAGCATTATAATATCACCATGGTATACCATCAAAAGAAATAATTAAAATTGTTTTACAACTGAATTTAAAGAGTATCCCTTATATTGCGTATTACTTTACTCATTTAATTATCGTTACCTTCTGTGTTGGCCCAAGATTGCATAGCAAGTAAATGTTGGAGATTAAATGTATACATAACTCTTCTAAAACTCTAATTTTGTATACTTCACACATATTTGTTCTATTATATTAAGCTTATACTGGTTGTAGAATTTCCTTTGTGAGATCATATATCAACAAAAGGTCAAAGACAGTGTTCAACTCCCTTGCAGAATATGTTTAAATGCATTGTACTAAGCTCCAACATAGTCATTCTGCATATGTGGGAAAGTTCTTTTCAGACTTAGAGTTCTTGAATTAGAATAAGAGTTTGAAATTACACTTACAACCTGATAGGAGCTGATATGTTATACTAAATACAAACTATAAGTAGTATTTTTTCAAACTGTTGACATGTGCCCAGGTAATACATGGACTACATTGTTTCCCCAAAAGGTTTTTGGTTTAATCTAGTGTTTTTCAGATCAGATTTCACAGATGTGTTGTCAGGAAATGTTAGATGGTCCACACATCCTATATAGTCACTAATTTAGTGTTAGTTTTGTGATTCTATTTGAAATAAGCAATTGACACAATTGATAGCATTTAGCTTTTATTGTATTGGCAAACATGTCTTAGCATTAGCAATTACCTTGGCATTTTCCAATATTAAAATGATCACTATCTGTTGCTATGTTTATATTTGGATTTTTATTATAAGCATATCTACCATTTGATCCTAATATCAAAAACATAAAATCATTCTAACACAATTTTCATGTTGGACTTTTTAACATTAACAGACAAATATATAGGTATAAATTTCTATTGAAAATGTTTTCATAGATTAAGATTTCAATTTATTAAGCAATATAATAAATTGGGACCTGATAGTAAGAAAGAGCTTTGAGGGAAAGTAATGTCCCATTTATAGTGGATTGAGAAAAGGAAAACAGAGGCTGATTTAAAATGCAAATACAACATGTGCACCAAGGGAAGGGCCAGATGCTATCACAAAGGAAAAGATCACTTAAATAGAGAAAAGTGGTGAGGCATTCCTGCTATCACCATTAGTTTGCTGAACCTCCACTTACACTGTAGCAGTCAGTACCGCATTTATATTGAGAGTTTCAATTTAGTTTAGCAAAATATCCATCACATTAATTTAATGCTGTTACTCTGAATTTTTATTTTCTTAACTTTTTTTAGTATTTGCTATAAATGCTTGGTTTTATGGTTGGGAGAGAATTAGGTACATAAGGGATTTATTCTGTCGTATGCTTTTATATATTAAGCAAGATAAAAATAACTGAAGTCAACACTGCTAGTTCATAATACATCTTTCCTTTATGTGAGTTTTTTTTTTTTCTTTTCTCTAGTTAGGAGTCATTGTCTTTAACTATAATCATTCATACAGCAGTTTATAAACAAAAACAAACATAATCTAAATACCTACTATAATCTGTTTTTGAAATGCTAATAACAGGTTTGCCAGTTTTAAAGTGTAAAGCAATTCATTATCACAGCTAGCTGACAAAAGCTTGGGGGCAATGATTTGCTAAAATGATATTAAGAAAAATACAAAACAGTTAACCCTTGAACTTTGAAACTGTTTGAAAATACTCGAATGAGTCTGTACTAGTATGTATAACATTTTGTTATTTATGGACATTTAAAAACAAATGAAAACGCTTGAAAATAGCTGAAAATTAAATACATCTTAATCAAACTAAGTCAACTTCCTCCTCAAGGTGAATAAAATAGCAACAAAAAATTCAGGGTCTCTATTTACCAAAAGTTTATTCTTGTATTTCTTCTCTCTCTTGTTTCACATATTTCAGGCATTTTGCCGATGTTTAGGCCAGTGATCTATTTATTGCCATGAGATAATATAACAATAGATGATAGTGGTCAGAAGTCTTCTCAAACTGCACAGCTTTCTCCCTTAGTAGATTTAGGAGTTTTGTGTTTCTTCCCAAAATAATTTGATTATACTTTGCCAACTGCCAAAATTCTTGTACTAGAGAAATGAGTAAAGTAGCCCTCTAGTGAGGCTATTCATTTGAAGCCAGATTTTCACTCAATACAACAAAATGGCTGCAGGCAGCTGTTTCACAGTGACCCTAAAATTCTGTGTTTTACAAATGCATATATTCAGGATTATAAGCTTTGGTGCCACCTGCTCTTGAATAGTGTGCCATTTTTCTTCCCCACTGCTCCCCTAACCCTTCATCATCACTTCACAAATCTACTCTCCAACTATTAATCCAAATGAAAATATCAAATACTTGGTTCAATGGTAAGATAAAATTACCATTATTGCTATGGTTTGAATGTATGTGTTCCCTCCGAAATTCATGCTAAGTCTTAATCCCCAGTGCAACAATATTAAGAGGTGGAGCCTTTAGGAGATGATCAGCCTCAGAAGAGGAGCGCTGCAGTGAGACCCTCATTCTTCTTAGTGTGTATCTAAGTGGTCATGATCAGAATGCGGGCAGAAATAGGGAAAGATTCTGAGATGGTCTTAGACGGAAAAGACAAGTACTATATTGAAAACTAGAGGAAAGGACAACCTTGTTACAAAGTTGCAAAGAACTTGGCTGCATTGCGTCAGTGTCCTACGGTTTTGTGGAAGGCAGAATTTAAGAGCAGTGAACTTGGATATTTGTGGAGGAAATGTCTGTGTAAAGTGTTCAGGCTGCTGCATGGCTTCTATTGATATCTTAAAGTAAAATGCAGAAGAGAGAAATGGAATGTATAATCAAAAATGGAACAGAAATTAACGATTTGGAAATTCTAAACCTTTCCATGTAAAGAATGAAAAGGGGGTGTTTGGGGGAGAATATCAAGAATGTGGCCAAGTGATACGGAAATGAGTATGGATAAAAGGAACCCAGATGCCATTCGTCAAGACAGTGTAAGAATGATCCTGAAGGAATTTTGGAGATCTTTAAGGCTGCCACTCCCATCACAGACCCAGAGTGCCAGGGCCTTGAGAGCAGAAATATCTCAGGGTAGGGGCCCCGAGGTCTGGGCTCACAAAAGGGCTGAGGTCTGGGCTCAGAGAAGGGCCGCAGCTCTTCTCTCCTCATCGCCCGCAGCGCCGTGAGAGGGAGGGTGTGTTTCAGGGGGCTGTGTTTCAATCTGTTTTTACAGCTCTTTCGGTCCTGGGGCCCCGCTCCAGCCCGCATCTCCTGGACTGGCCTGGCCCTGCCTCTGCTTCCTGTTGTGTGGGGCGACCACTCAGTGCTGGCAGAGGGTGGGAGGGCTATAGTGTTCACAGCTCTGGCTCAGGCAATACCAAGGTCTGGGCCCCCAGAAGAATCACTACTCTTCATTCCCACAGTCTGTGAGCGTGTCGCTGCCTGCAGCTCGGTGAGTCAGCCAGGAAAGTGTTACAGCTCCTTTCACTCCCGCTGTTTGGCAGGTCCTGAGTGCTTATCCCGCATCCAGGAAGAATGAAGTTATGCGGACACCTGGAGAGTGAGCAAGGCTGGGAAGAGCTTTATTGGGCAACCAGACAGCTCTCAGAAGAGAGGTGACCTGAACAGCTAACTCCTATCTGCAGGTAGGTACTCCCAACTAGCGTCCAGTCTGGCGGTGGGGAATGGAGGAAGTGTGTGTTGATTGGTCCATGAGCAGGAGAAAGTCCATGCTAATTGGTCCATGGGTGGCCATGGAAAAAGCACCACTTGATTGGCTGGAAGACATCAAGGAAGTTGTCACTCCGGCAGCGAACTTCACCTGGAATTGGCAATTTGTTCCCCAGTTCACTGGGGACCCACCCTCCCCTGCCTAGGAACCTGTGTGCCTCCTGCCACCATCAACATGCCATCCATGGCGCCCAGGCTGTCTGCACCGAGGAACACCCGCAGGCCCATTCTGAACCACCCTCAGCCCCTGGCCTCCCTCCCGTGTTCTTCAGTGGCCACAGTTTTAGCCTCAGAAGCAGTTTCTGGAGGGACCCGAGGCCGTGGGGGGGGGGGGGGGGCGCTGGCATGTTAGTGTTCCCCTGAGCACATGCACATCTGACCAGATTGTGACAGCTCTCGGGCTTAGCTGTTGGGACACGTCCACAACTTTGCTCTGCCGCGGAGCAGTGCTGGGAACAAAGAGAGGCCAAGTAGCGGGGGCAGGCACTTCCGAGCCTGTGGGGGCAGGAGGCTTCCCAGGCCCCGGAGAGCTCAGGGATGGATGCCTGGATCTGGAGATGTGGCTGGGCAGCTGCCCACTCGGTAGGGTGTGAGTTTCTCACTGGGATCACCTGTTCCTGGTCCCCGCCGGCTCTACAGAGGATGCAGCCCTGCCCGTGCCTCCCCGGCTGCAGTTGATGTCCTTGCAGCAGCTGCTCCAGATGGGCTGCCGCCACCACCAAAAGATTCTTCTCAAAACTCAAGATTTGATACTGTCTGCCTTGTTGGGCTTGGGCTTAATTGGAACTTTTTAATGTTTATCTTATGCCTGTCCCACCATTGTATTTTGGAAGCAAAATAGTGTTTGATGTCATAGGTTCACAGCTGGAGGGGAATTTGCCTCAGGATGACTCATACCTTGACTCTCACCCATATCTGATTTAAATAGGACTTTTGACTTAGACTTTAATGCTAATGGTGGAACAGGTTAAGACTTTTGAGGCTATTGATAAGAAATAAAGACATTTTGCATGTGGGAAGGATATGAATTTGGGGGTGGGGGCTAGGGGCAAAAATGCTGTAGTTTGAATGTATTCCCTCCAGAATTCATGTTGAAACTTAATCCCATCTGCAGCAGTGTTAAGAGGTGGTGCCATTATGAGGCGATCCCTCATGGATGAAATTAGTGTGCTTACAAAAGGGCTCGAGGGAGTGAGTTTGGCTCCTCTTGCCCTTCCTTCCACTATGTAAGGACACAGTTTGCCCATTTTGCCACACGAGTTTGCAGCAAGTTCCCCACCAGACAATGAACACCTGTACCTCGATTTTGGACTTTCCAGCTTGCAGAACTGGAAGACAATTTTTCTTCTTCACAAATGGTCCAGTCTCAGATATTTTTGTGATGGCAGCACAAATGGACTAAGACAATTATCTTTCTTTTTTTTCCCACAGCTCATTGATTAGGACTGTTGAAGCTTGGGAGGCAGATGCCTGTCGGAAGCATGGAGAATGTTTAAAAACATAGAAGTCTATCTAAGACATTTATTGCCAGCTTTCACAGATCCCATATTTAGAAAGGCTCCCAGGCCAGGCATAGTGGCTCACGTCTATGATCCCAGCACTTTGGGAGGTCGAGGCGGGTGGATCACGAGGTCAGGAGTTCGACACCAGTCTGGCCAACATGGCGAAACCCCGTCTCTACTAAAAATACAAAAATTAGCTGGGTGTGGTGGCACGCGCCTGTAATCCCAGCTACTCAGGAGGCTGAGGCAGAAAAATCGCTTGAACCCCAGAGGTGGAGGTTGCAGTGAGCCGAGATCACACCACTGCACTCCAGTCTGGGTGACAGAGCAAGACTCCGTCTCAAAAAAAAAAAAAAAAAAAAAAAAAAAAAAGAAAGAAAGAAAGAAAAAAGAAAGGCTGCCATCCCAACAATTATGCACAAAAGTCTATTCAAGTGTCTTGCATGTACAGAGATTTTTTCTGATTATTTGATTATGCTATTGTTCTGTGAGTAAATTAATGCTCTGGGTGAGCAAATAGAGTGGCTAGTATTTATTTCTTAAATGTTTGATTTATTTTTTTTCCAAAAAAGATAAGTTCCTTTTTTCCTTTTTCTTTTTTTTTTTTTGCACTTAACTAAAAATATCCCTTCACTGTCACATCTGAATTTGAAAGAAAGTTGCATCCTTTTTCTTAGACTCAAAACAATTTACCAGGTTTTTGCAGTGTTTCAAAATGTTTTAAAAATTCTTTAGCTATAATATTCCAAAAGGTCATAAATTGACAATATTTTTCCATGAAGGTCAGTTTCCATCACTTTTGTCCCTTTTTCAGCTTCTATCTGTCACGGCAAATCTCTGTACCTCTTTCCTTCTGTCTGCCTTTTTTTCACTTTCTTTGCAATGTTTTCTCTGTGCTTTTCCCGCAAAACTCTTGTTTCTTTATCCATTTTACAACACTCTGTAAATTGTTCATAGTATAGAAGTATATTTCAGTATGAATATATGTATGTATATTTAACACATACATATAGAAATTTGAACACTTTAAAATATGACCAAATGACTTTTCATTGTCTTTTAGGCAATATCTTTAATTATACACTAAATTCATATTTTCATTTGATAAGGAATTTACTCATGCCAACTAAAATTTATCTCTTTATTTCCTCCTCTGTTTTGCTACTTACATTATTTTTATTATTCTATTTACTAAAATATTTAGATGTTTATTTCTTGTTTCATCAATATTAAAACTATTTCAAAATACATCACTAAGTAATAGGATAAAATTAGGGCTCCTTTACTCCTGTTTACCTACTGCCTACAACCTTAAGTATTTATTTTTATATACCAAACCATTATTTTTTAATTGTTCTATTTGTAATATTTACATTCTATTGAATAACTAATAGAATGCAATTAAAAGGGAATTCAAAATTCCTTGTTTATAGGTTAAGTTTTTAAAATGGAAAATAAATAAAGTTTGTTATAATATTATGATTATATAAATATATTACAGGAATAAACATGATAACCAGACCCACAGAAAATGCATGTAGTTCTATGTCATTTCAAAGAGAATGAGTATGTTGCAAGAGAGAGCAAATGTATTCAGATTCTTATATGTTAATGCTTGTTTAAAATCAAGTCATAATAAAGGACAAGCTACAAAGTGAGAAAAAAATACTGGGACATCACTTATCTGACAAAGGACTATGTATAGAATATAAAAACACCACTCAAAACTCAACAGGTAATAAAACAACCAATCCTGTTTTAAAAATTGGAACATAAACCATCACTTCACCAAAGAGCATATACAGATGGAAACAAGCACATGAAAAGATGATCATCATCATTTCCCCGATTAGAAAAATACAAATTAAATCCACAGTGAAATAATATATATTAGAATGACTGGAAAAGGAAACCAAGCAGATGTCACAAAACCAAGCAGATGTCACAAACCAAGCAGATGTCACAATACAAATATGCACTTAATATATGATCAAGGAATCCCACTCAGGTATTTATTCTAGAGAAATAAAAACATGTTCATATAAAAGCTCACGTACAATATTTATAGCAGCTCTTTTTATAAATGCCAAAACATAGAGATAAACTAAATTTCTTTAACGAGTGGATATATTGTGATACGTTCATATAATAATCTTCAATAATAAAAAGTAGTAAACTATTGATACATACAAGGATTAATATTTAAGGCATTAAGCTGTGCTGAAGAAGGGTGTTTTAAAAGGTTACATAATATATGATTATATTTATATGATGCCTTAGAAAAGGCATAACTGTAATGAAGATGAAATAATGAGTGAGGTTGGGTGAAGTGGCTCATGCTTGTAATCCTAGCACTTTGGGAGGCCGAGGCAGGCAGATCACCTGAGGTCAGAAGTTCAAGACCAGCTGGCCAACATGGTGAAACCCCGGCTCTACTAAAAATACAAAAATTAGCTGGGCATGGTGGCGTGTGCCTGTAATCCCAGCTACTCGGGGGCTGAGGCAGGAGAATCTCCTGAACCCGGGACGGGGATGTTGCAGTCAGTTGAGATCATGCCACTGCACTCCAGGTTGGGTGACAGAGTGAGACTCTATCTCAAAAAGAAGAAGAAATAATGAGTGGTTGCCAGAGGTTAGTGTTGGGGAAATGGTGCAACTACAAAGGGGCAGCAAGCTGGAGATTTGTAGGTGGAGGAAATTGTTTGTATCCTCAACTATGGATCGTGGTGGTATTAACATGTTTTAATACTCATGGAATTGTACGTCAAAGAGATCAATTTTAGTGTATGTAGTTTTTAAAGAGTAAGATAAAGTAAAATAAGTTGTACCATGTATTAGTTACTTCAGATCTGGAATATAACTTCCAACACTTTCCCTAGAATTTCCTATTGTATTTTTCCTTTTTGATAGAAGAAAATATATACTTTTAATCAAGTAAATGTATAAAAGATTTATGTAAATGTATACATTTATATAAATTATGTAAATTTATAAATTTATGTAAATATCTTACAGCTTCTTAATAATAATAATAGTATATGTTACATGGCACTTACTTTCATTTTGAGAGCATTCTTGGAGTCCTTTGACCTTCTATCTAATTTTGACTAAATATTTGCTAGGTGTACTATACTATTACATCCATAATTTTTTTACCTTTGCACTCCTGGGTTGGTTCTGTTGTTTCCTGGATTTTGAGCTCTTTTCTCAGGAAAGTTTACAATTTTCTCTACTTAATATTTAATTTTTTTAACTAAATCTTCATGAGAGGTAAGATTTATAAATTTTTGCATGCCCCAAAAATATATTTTTCTTTTATGCCTGGTAATAATTGGTCTGGGTAAGGAAATCTATGTTCCATGTCATTTTTAAAGAGCTCTGAAAGTGCGGATATCAAACTCACTGTCTTAATTTGGGTTCCTCAAGAAAGCAGGAACTAAGCAAAAATTTAAGTATAGGTAGTTGATTTTGGTGTTAGACCCAGGAATCAGAAGTGAGAGAGTGGGGAGAGTGAGGTTGTTAAGAAAGAAAATGTAATGTTAGGGTGCTCTATCAAAGTAGCTGCTGTGGACAACTGGGCCCAATTCCTCCAGCATCTTCTGAGACTGTACCTACTACCTCCCAGATTTTTCCATCTGGAGTATAGGACACTGGAGTACTTGATACACAGGTTACCACTCCACATTGTTTGTTGGATTCTCTTTATGTGCATTAAATTTCTCCTTCCACTGCCATTTGTTGTTAGTACTTGAAAGTTCCTACAATGCTGGAGAAAGCTCTGAGGCAGAATGCAAAAAGATGCACATTTTTTCAGCATTATATAAATTTGAGGCCACTTGGAACTGTCTACTACAATTGATAATGAAATCATATTGTGCATTGATAGGATGTGACCAAGGACCCACCCCAGAGGTGTCTGGTTCACTCCTTACACTGTAGATATATCTGCTTATGTACCTGACATGGTTTGGCTGTGTCCCCACCCAAATCTCATCTTGAATTGTTATTCCCATAATCCCCATGTGTCATGGGAGGGGCCCGGTGGGAGGTAATTGAATCATGGGGGTGGTTACCACCATGCTGTTCTCCTGATAGTGAGGGAGTTCTCATGAGATCTGAGGGTTTTATAAGCATCTGGCATTTCTCCTGTTGGCATTCATTCTCTCCCCTGTCACCCTGTGAAGAAGTGCCTTCTGCCATGATTGTAAGTTTCCTGAGCCCTCCCCAGCCAAGAAGAACTGTGAGTCAATTAAACCTCTTTTCTTTCTAAACTACCCAGTTTTGAGTATTTCTTGTGAGAACAGCTGGTACAGTACCACATTAAGTTCACTCAGTTTCTAATACTTCAAGGTAGTGACCAGCTGGAATTTTTATAAGATTTAATACAGGAGTCTTAGTGGAACAGACTACAGTCCCTAATGCTGCCACTTTGTCCGAGACCATTAGAGATATTTACCATCTCTTGTCTCAATTGTTCATTCTAGATTTTCTCCCTTTTTCAGGCAGAATTTTATCTCATCTAAACAGCTTACCTGGTGTGATGACCAAGAGCTTTCTCTCTGAAAGGTCAGTTAAATTACTCAAAGTTTCTTCTGTGATTACCAACCATCTACTTCTGGATAACAAGGCACTAAAACATTTAGTGGCTTAAAACAACATATTATTTATTGTTTATTATGGTTTCCTGTGTTGACTAAACTTAGCTGGATTGTTGCTTGGGATCTCTCCTATGGCTGCAGTCTGTTAGAAATAGATATTGCAGTCATCAGAAGGCCCAAATGACCTGAATGCCCAAGTTCCAGTTCACTGCAGGCTGTTGACTGGAGTATCTACACATTGCCTGTCCATGTCTTAGGCTTCTCAGGTATGGCAGTTGAGTTCCAAAAATAAGTTATAGACAGACAGGAAGTAGAAGTGTTATGGGATCTTTGTGGTGTCAGTTTTTCTGGCTGGAAACCTCTGTGGCTAGTGGTGCCTTTGCCTGAGTTCTTGTCCTATGTCCAGAAAGAATGAGGTATGCAGACAAATGAAGGATGAACAAGACAAAGAGGAGCTTCATTAAGTGTTAGAACAGCTCAGAGGAGACCTGCAGAGGGTAACTCCTCCCTGTTACTATCAATGTCTGCTGCTCTCAGCAGAGTGGGGGCCCTGGAGAGGGTAGCTCCTCTCTGCAGCTGGTAGCTCTCATGCCTCTGCTGGTCTCTGAAGCTCTCAGTAAGAGAGGGTAGCTCCTCTCTACAGCTGGTCATCCCAGTCCCATCACCTCTCTGTTCTCTCCACTCTCTGCCCTGCTCTGACTGAGCCCGGGGCTTTTATTGACCTCAGAGGGGAGGAAGTATGTGCTGACTGGTCCATGGGCAGCCATGGGCAGGCCCAGGAAAAGGCACCATAAGTTCCCCATCTTGTCTGCAGGACTGGCATCCTGGCCTCAGGCTTCAGGCCTGTTCTGGCCTGAAGGTGGGGCTTCACTGGGGATTCACCCCCTTCCTCCCAGGAGCCTGTCTGCCTCCCACATCATCCATAGAACCCAGGCTGCTGGTATCTGCAGGCTATCACCCAACTACCCCCAACCCACCTCAATGTCCCCTCCATACTTCTTGGTGCCTAAAGTCCAGAGGGGGCCAAGGCAGCAGGGGGCTGGCATGCCAGTGCTGCTCCAAGTGTGGGCACACCTGGCTAGTCTGTGACAGTGCCCAGGCTCAGCCCCAACCCTTCTCCAATATTGGAGCCAATGCTGGGAGTTGGGATAGGCTAGGCAGTGGGAGCAGGCACCTCTGATCCTGCAAAGGCAAGGGGGCCCTTCCCAGGCCCCCCAGGAGTGCAGGAATGCCTAGGTCTGCAGCTCTGGTTTGGGAGGCTGCAGCTGTGCTGGGGGGCAGGGCTACTGCCTGCTCTTGGAGTGGGAGGCCCACATCCACAGTCACAATGTGGGCAACTGCAGCCTCACCCTCCTGGCAACTCCAAGTCCTTTCTGGGCCTGGGCTGACATCCAGGGCAGGCGTGACGTTGCTGTGAGCTGCCCCTGTGGCCTTAGCACACAACCTGGCCCAGCCCCATCATGGCAGCTCCCAGGGTGGTAGGCTGCAGGCAGCGAGGGCTGTCCAACTCCTTCCTGTGCCCTCCCTGAGGTGGCCAGCGTGATGGCAGTGGTTACCCCAAATGGCCCACTGTTGCCATCAGAAGCTGCTAGTTTCTTAAGGCCAGGACCTGCCATAATGTGACTTGTATTATATTTTATTAGTTAAAGAAATTATAGATCCTGCTCAGATTTAAGATGGGCATAAGACTCATTTTCAATGGAAAGATTGAACTTCTCATAAAATAACCTATGTTTGCAACTAAGTAGTTTTCTTAGTGTCCTTCCTGTTTAGATATCCAGAGAGCTTTTTCTTTAATTTTGTCCCATTTCTCTCTCTTCCAGTCCAAGCTAATAATCATTCCTTTAAAGTTTTTGTGGACTTTCTGTGTATTAAATTACAATCCACTTTTTTAAACCAGTGGTTCTAAATATAGATTTTTTGTCCTACAGGCATTTAGATGGTCTGGAAACAATTTTGACCGTCAAGAATTGGGTGAAGAGGCCAGGCGCCGTAGCTCGCACCTGTAATCCCAGCACTTTAGGAGGATGAGGTGGGTGGATCACCTGAGTTCAGGAGTTCGAGACCAGCCTGGCCAACATGGTGAAACCCCATCTCTACTAAAAATACAAAAATTATCTGGGCATGGTTGCGGGTACCTGTAATCCCAGCTACTCGGGAGGCTGAGGCAGGAGAATCGCTTGAGCCCAGGAGACACAGGTTACAGTGAGCCCAGATTGCGCCACTGCACTCCAGCCTATATGATAGAGTGAGACTCCATCTGAAGAAAAAAAAAAAAAAAAAAGAATCGGGTGAAGATGGTCCTACTGGTATCTAATGGGTAGAGCTCACGAATATTGCTAAACATTCTATAAGGTACAGGACAACACAAAAGACTCCCTCATCCCAACAAGGAATTATCTGACCCAAAATGTCTATAGTGCCAAGGTTGAAAAGTCCTGCTTTAGATAACAGCCACACCCATAAGTCTATTTGAGACAGTCCCTTCATTACCTTTGGTTCCCTATGATAATGTCTTCAATATTATTAGAAGACTTAATGTGTCACAGAGAGGATATACAAGGACCTTTATCTGTTTGAAGTTATCTTTCAGATACCACTTTAGCTCTTTCTTCAGTTTATCAAGGACCTTATACTTCCACATAATTTGATCTTTGTTTTGAAAAAATTTATACTATGGCATTCTTTTTCTGGAGAGATTGGAGATTTTTAAAAAACAGTCTTATTTTTGGTCCCAGAAAGCTTGACCTTTTATGTTTCATTTAAATTCTGATTTTAAAAAATGGAAGTATTTCCCCTTTGTTTAATTTCTCTCTTCTTATATTTTATCATAGGCAGCTAAAATCAGCCAGATGAAGCTTGAAATTCTGCCTTCAAATCTCCCCAACTATCCCAATGTTACTAGGTACTCTTTCTATTTTTCTTATTGCCAAAGGTGACAGTGTTGCCAGATTTTCTGCAACTACATAAAAAGTGCCTCTTTTCACTAGCTTCTGTTATGGACTGAATGTATGTATCCCCCATGAATTCATATGTTAAAGCCTTAACCTCCAATGTGACTATCTTTGGAGGTGAGGCCTTTGAGAAGTAATAACATTTAGATGAGCTGATGGTGGTGGAGCCAGCATGATAAGATTAGTTCCCTTATAAGAAGAGGAAGAAAGATGGATTTCTCTCCAACTACACACATTGAGGAAAGGCCATGTGAGTGATACCAACAAAGCTGGTCTGCCTTAAAATGGGGTCTTTCCCTGTCCAGTGCCACAAAGTCAATATGCAAAACCAAAAGTGAGAGTCAAGAAGTGCAGGTATAGGGCATATTTAATGAAAGGGTTGGGCATTAAAAATGAGGAGAGGAATATTCATGTATTTTCTGGGAGCAGATAGAGAACTTGGAACTGGAGTTGCCACCTTCCTTTTTGTCATTTTGTGGTTTATTCTGGTCGTTGTTATAGTGATTGTCAATGGTCATGGTGCTTGTGGGAGTGTCACTGAGCATGGACATTAGATTATAATGAAGTTAGAAGCTCTTCAGAGGTCAGGTGACCTGCCATTTTACATCCCACCAGTCTTAGCTGGTTTAATCACAAGGGGAAACTTCTGACTTTAGTCCTCCTGTCTCCTAAAGATAAGCAGAGTTAAGGTGGTATAGAAATTGATCTAGGTCTTAAAGGCATTACACTAGGTAACATGAGGACACAGTGAGAAGGTGGTCATTTGCAAGCCAGAAAGAGGGCCTTTGTCAGGAATCAAATCTGCTGGTCCCTTGATCTCAGACTTCCAACCTCCAGAACTGTGAGAAGGGTCTGTGGCTAAGCCACCTAGTCTTTGGTATTTTGATATAACAGCCTGGGCTGAATAGGACAGCCTCTAATAACATCCTCACTGTCTTCAAGCCCTCTCCAGCAGCCTCCTTAAGGTCTTCCAGGTTTCACTATCAGTCTCCTGCAAACTTTTCCAGCATCTGCCCATTGCTTAAACCCAAAGCCAATTGTCGTCAATTTTTAGGTTATGTTTTTTCTAGGAGTAACATTTTCTTTGCTCTTGTTAGTTTGTCACAGCTGTAATTATTCCTTCATCATTGTCACCAGGCATGTGAGCACCAACATTTCGGTTTATGTTTCCCTAAACTAATGCCTGAGAAAAAGACTTAAGTGAAGTTCATTTGTTTGAAATAATATCCCAAGAAACAGGGTTAAGGGAAGGGAGTAGTGAGACAAGGAAGGAGGAAAAGATAATGAGGTCACTGCTTGGAGCTTTAGTCTGCTAGGATTTTTGAAGCACATGTAATGCCACCCAGAATTATCCACTGGAAAGACAGTATGCTTTTGAGTTGGGATGCTGTATCTGTGAGGTGTCCCTTTACATGAAATGTGCTTTTCAAATGTTCTGAAATTAGATTTGCAGCAAAGGGCTATGGCACAGAGGAGCACTGAAAATATCTTCTACACCAAAACTCATTATTTATAGGCTATTTTATTTTCTTTCTGGAAGCTCTTAATATTTTATCTTCATCCTAGATATTTTAGATTTGATAATTCCATGTCTAGGTGCAGGTCTTTTTGATTTCATTCTGCTTGGCACTTAGGGATCCTTTAAATATAAAGTCTCGTATCTGTTTTTAACTCTAGGAATTTAGAACTCATATATAATTTCTGCTTCTTCATTTTCTTCGTTCTTTCTTTGGAATCTCCTATTTATTAGGAATCAAAATCTGCTATATTCTATTTCTTTGTCTTTTTGCTATGTCCTCTAGGAGGTTTCTTTATCAGGAAACCTTTCTGCTGAGTTTTCAATTTCAGAAATCATATTTTTTCATTTCAAAAACTCATTCATAGATATTTGTTTTTCATGGCATTCTATTCTTGTTGCATGGATATATTATCTTATCAAATGGAACAGAAGAAAACTGAAGATATACATGTTTTATTTCTTAAAAATCTTCACATGAAGACAAGTTTCAAGGGGAATAAGCCAAATAATTGATCCTTGAGAAAACAAAAATAACAAGGAAAGACTTTGTTATTTATGTTTTATTATGTATTATTATTTATTATTTATGTATCATGTTTTATTTCCTTATTAATTGAGTTTTCTCTAGGATCAGTTATTTGTCTTATTCTTCTTGATACTCTTTATTACACAATGATTTTCCCAAATGTCTCATGATAATTGGATTTCCATTCATCTTTATGAATAAAAAAGTGTTGATTCACTTAAGTTGCTGGGATAAGTTTCACTGCTGCGCTTTAGATGTGTTTGTATATCAAACCAACAAGCATTTCTCTTTATCTAAGAGGGAAGTATGTGTGTGTGTTTTGCATTGTTTGTGTCTGTGTGTGATGTTACTGGTAATCAGCAGGTTTCATTTGAATGTATATAGATGGTACATAGATGAGAAGCAGGCAGACAGTCTGCCCATGGGATACCTTAGAGAAAATCAAGGTGACTTTAGATGGAAAATCTAGCACTTACAACATTTGCTATTCCCAAGCAGCTGATTTAATTTCTTTAGGAAATAGTTATTTGGTTTATGCTCAGGGAACATGCAAGACCTGTCAGGCATCATTCACATGGCAATGAGAGTCTGTTGGGAGGAGCCAAGATACCATGATGTGGACAGTTTTAAAATAATTTCCTTTGATTGCTTCTGTTTCGTTATTTCCTACTCCCTGGGCCTGCAAGTTCTTAGCATCAGCCTCCTCTAGATTCTCTACAAAGAGCAGTTTCCACCAATGCTGATGTCTGTTCCTATTCAGCTTCTGACCTATGTCTTCATCTGCCTGCATAGTTTATCTGCCTTTATAACTTCTTCTACTTTTAACTATGCAAGAGCCATCAGAATATTTGGTCCAGGGATGGGCTCCCCACTCCAAAACGTACTTTGGTTATAAATTTATCTCATATTGCATGTCTTTACCCTAAGTTAAATAAAACTGTGATACATTGAAGAGGTACTATATCTTTTCAGTCTGCCATTTTAAACTGGCAGCAACAAATATTTTCTTAATCTGTTTAATAAAGTGTTAATGTCTTCTAGTAACAATGTAAAAGTTAAGTAGAAAGTATTTTATATTTTTTAAAAACACAAAGATTTTCTTTTATATAGACCTTAACTTTTAATAGACTTTTAAAAACTTTTATTTAGGCTCAGAGGTATATGTGAGGACTTGTTACATGAGCCTCGAAAGTGACTTTAATATCCTGAAAACATATAGCTAAGACCCAAACTGGGGTTAGATACCCTGCTATGCTTAGCCGTAAACCCAAATAGTTAAATTAACAAAACTACTCGCCAGAGTACTACAGGCAACAGCTTAAAACTCAAAGGACTTGGCAGTGCTTTATATCCCTCTAGAAGAGCCTGTTCTATAATCAATAAACCCCGATATACCTCGCCATCTCTCGCCACTCAGCCTACATACCGCCATCTTCAGCAAACCCTAAAAAGGCCTTAGAGTAAGCACAAGTATGTACATAAAAACATTAGGTCAAGGTGTTGCCTATGAAATGGTAAGAAAAGGGCTACATTTTCTATTTCCCAGAAAATTTTACAATAACCATAATGAAACCCAAAGGTTCAAGGAGGATTTAGCGGTAAATGAAGAACAGAGTGCTTGATTGAATGAAGCGTGAAGCACGCACACACCACCCATCACCCTCTCAAATACTAGTCTAGAGACCACTATTACTAATAATTTTCCTACACATATAAAGAGGAGATAAGTTGTAACATGGTAAGCGTACTGGAAAGTGCTTTTGGACTAACGAAAGTGTAGTTTAACTTAAAGCACCCGGCTTACACCTGGAATATTTCATATCACCTGACCACTTTGAGGCAACTCTAGTCCCAACTTTATTAAACTGTGTTACCGGATCTCCTTAAACCAAATCATTTACCCAGGACAAAAGTGTGGGTGATAGTAGTTACTTACTCTGGTGCAATAGTTATAGTACCGCAAGGGAAAGATGACATAATCACACCAAGCATCAAAAAGCAAAGACAAACCCTTGTACCTTTGCATAATGAATTACCCAGAACAGACTTCACAGAGAGAACTCTAGCCAAGACCCCCACAACCAGATGAGCTACTCAAGAACAGCTAAATAAGCACACTCATCGTTGTAGCAAAATAGTGAGAGGATTCATGAGTAGTGGTGATAAACCTATCGAGGCTGGTGATGGCTGGTTGTCCAAGACAGAATTTTAGTTCAACTTACTTCTGGAATACAAAAGTGAAAAGGAGACATTTCTAATTTTATTATTAAGGTCATTATTATTATCAAGGATGATAGTTGATTGATTGAGTTTATGATGGTTCATTGTCCAGAGAATAGCATATTGGAAATGATTCCTATTATGAGAATTATAGATACAGTTGCTTGTCTGAGGAAATATTGAGTAGCTGCTTCTGTGGAGTGGATTTTCTTTTTTAATTAAAATTGGGATAATGGCTAGTATGTTTATTTCTAGGCCTATTCAGATGAGATGTCGGTGTGAGCCTAATATTGTAATAAGAGTTCCTGTAAAGATAGTGAAAGAGATAATAAGTTGAGTTAGAGGGTTAATTAGTACGGGAAGGATAAAAACCAACATTTTCCGGGTAGGGGCCCGATAGCTTATTTAGCTGACCTTACTGTAGGATGTGGTGTGGTGTATTAGGTAGCACAGATAATTTTGGATTCTCAGGGGTAGGTTTGAGTCCTATAATTCTACAAATAAGAGGATTAAACCTCTATAATTTACTCTATCAAAGTAACTCTTTTGTCAGACGTATTTCTTATGTTTGAGGTGGGATACTAGATATTAGGACAGGCATAGAGATGTGTCATCTGAAAAGCATTAGTGTGAATGGTAAGAAATTTTTTCATGGAGGATGTACAGGTTGACCATAACAGAATCGAGGGTATGACACTTGAAGTCATAAAAATAAAGTCGTTAAAAGGAAAGTTTTGGTGATGAAAATTATAGTATAGAATTCTGGTGTATGAATATCATGTAATGCTCCTTGGAAGATAATAGTGGTTAGGGCATTTATTATAATAATATTTATATATGCTGCATAAAGAATAGGGCAAATGGACCCGCATCATATTCCACATTAAAGCCTGAAACGAATTCTGATTCCCCTTCTGTCAAGTCCAACGGGACTCTGTTAGTTTCTGCTAGCTTGGAAATAAATCATATTATGGTTAGAGGTCATGATGGTAGTAGTAGTCAGAATAAACTCTTGTGTTGAGTATAGGTAAGTTGAATGAGCCACTTATTAACAGAACTGATAGGAGGATAATAGCTAGGGTAACTTCATATGAAATGGTTTGGGTTACTGCTTGTAGTGTAAACAATTAGCACATATTTTGAACTGGATGCTCATCTTGATCATAAGATAGAGTAGACAGCTAGGCTTAATGTGGCTAGTATAAATAAGAGACCTATGTTAAGATTAATTAGAGGATATGGTATGGGGAGAGGGATTCATATAAGGAGGGCAATAGATAAAGCTAGGATTGGAGCAATAATGGATAGGGGAATAGTGGATGCTAAAAGTCACAGGGGTTCTTTAATAAAAAGTTTTATTGCATCTGCAAAGGGCTGAAGTAGTCCATACAGACCTATAATGTTGGGTCTTTTGCATATTTGTACATAGCCTAAGATCTTTCATTCAATGAACATAAGGAATGCTATGGCAATGGCCCTGAGTCTCCTAATTTGAGCAGAACTGGGTCAAACAGGAACTCTACTAGGACATTATCAGACTTATAGTGTTATTGTCACTTACTGATGCATTGGTTATGATTTTCTTCGTAGTAATACCAATCACAAATGAGGGCTTTGGCAACTGATTAGTTCTCCTGATCATCGGTGCAGCAGACATGGCATTCCCTCGAATAAATAATATAATATCTCAGGTGCTTTACTATTAGAATTGTTGTTAGAGTTGGTGGTGGTTGGGTGAATAGTTGAATATGATGAGGTGAAAATTGTAATTGATTTTAATAATATAGAAAATTGTGTAGTTTTTGAGGGTGAGGAAGTAGGGTTATTACGTGAAGATTCTATGGGTGTAGCTCTTTTGTATAGTTATGGGTGTTGATTGATGGTAGTTGCTGGTTGATTTCTGTTTGTTAGTATTTATGTTGCAATTAAGATTACTTGAGGGGATAGATTAAATAATTAAGAGTAGAGTTAGGAGAGATGGAATAAGGAAAGAGAAAATGTAGAGTTTAATTAGGCCTTTCTGGGTAGATTCAATGGTGGAGTCTAAAATTTGGACTTGGGCAGTGTTTTTGGCATTGATTTTTCTAATCAAATTAGATCTAGTAGAAGGGAGGTTAGATTTTGACTTTCATGTAGATTTGAGTGTGTGTGTGGGGGGGGGGTGTTGCACAGTGTATTGTGATTGCATAAAACCCTCATATGTTTGAGAAATTAAATGTTTGTGATGGATGCTTAAGTTTAAGGT